TAAGGGGAGTTCCTCAGAGCCTGATTTAGTCCATGGGTATCACAGTGAGGTCAGCAGAGATGGAAGAAAGGGGACCTCAGACAAACAGGAAGACCCTAAGCTCCTGGCCTCTCTGAAGCCTGGAAATGAGTGAATGGTAGGACTTCCTTCTGGCAGGATGAGCTCTGTATGATCCTTACTCAACAATGATAAGGTGTATGCAGCTTTTAGGCTTTTGTCATTTTCAAGTGACGTCCTCCAACCTAGATTTCACTGGAGGCTGTTAGCTCAGGACAGACCAGATAGCTCTGGTATGTGCATAAGTAAAGGGCCATTCCCCTTTCACCCTCCTTACCCTCTCTGTGGGTTTGATCAGTCATGCCACATACATCTGGAAGGAGGAGTCCTGAGACATAGAACAGATCTCTTCAAGGACCAGAGAGTTCTGCATGTCAGCTCAGTTACAAACAGGTGTCAGTGGCTACAGCATGACACACCTGCTGTCATTTGAAGGCTGCCACCTCTCTAACTACCTAGTTCTTTTCTGTGCTTCTGCTATCTATTAGGAGACTTGACTGTATCAGCTAGTGATGCTAGGTGAAGCCCCTCCTTATCAGTAGCTGTCCATGAACAGATACAGGTCGGTGGCAGTGAGAGGAAGACAGAGTGAGAGGAGCAAGAGAGGGACAGAGGTAACAGCATTTTTCTACACATTCTTAGATCTGTGTTGACTCAGCCATAAGTAAAAACATATGTAATCAGCATGTTTTCACAGAGATAAGGGGCGACACCTTCCCTTACTGTGGCTTGAAGGACCCTGCCACTCTTCTACCCTTTAAACACTGAAATACAGTCACCAGTGTAATGGCTGCTGGCTAATTGAACGTGTTGGGAAAGGACTGGCTCTGCTAAGGTCTCCAGAAACTTTCTTGTACTCTATAGGGCCTCATCAGACACAGAATCTACTAGTCCTTTGCCCTGGATTTCCCAGCCTCCAGATCTACGAGCAATACATTATTGTTGTTTATAAATTACTCAGTCTAAGGTGTTTTGTTATAACAATCCAAACCGATCTGAATAATCCCTTTTCAAGTCCCAATTTATTCTGTAGTTTAACAAATTATTAAGGAAGTAACGGTTTAAGGATTAGATTTTTCTCCCCTGCTTTGCACTTAGGTATGGCTTGAAACATCATTATGGAAGAAAAAAAATGCCCTATTTTTTCTGGAAGAAAAATGTCAAGCAGAAAGCAAAGTAATATGTAGTCTTAATTAGAGATATAAATACGGAGTCTGGGCCTCCTGTGAGGCTCTCCGAAGCCAAGCATTTCAGGAATGCAGTAAGATTTACTAGAGAGCAGACTCCTCAGAAAGTAGCATGCATTTATTAAGCTTTACCCTCGAAGAAGGCACAATCATAAAAACACATAAAGGCTTTAATAGAAAAACACTAGAGTTATAGACGAAAAACACTAATAATATTTTCCAAAAATGTCCATTACTTTGCATTCTGCAGTAGTCCTTCCAAACATGAAAACGGGGGAAATGTACATAGAGCCAGAGATATTTATTCCTTGTGAGAATGATAAATATTAATAAGAATGCAAAAAAAAAAAAAAGCAATGAGCTCGATTTATGGAGAGAAACGGTGCCAAGGGGACAGGCAGATAGCTCGGCGTCTGCTCTCTCGGCAGCTTGGAGTTGATAAACATTCCGCCCACTTTTTGGTAACTGGTAATGTCATTGTCAGACTGACCCCTGCCAGGCGATCTGTGAAGCGTAATGGATATATTGCTTCAGCCCCACAGAGTTATTCAGGTGTGTCAGGAAAGTCAGCTCAATGTTAATCAAGCACTTTAAACTCCTTAGTCTCAGCTTATATTTTGTCCTTTGACGGTGGAAGTGGCCCAGGACGGTCCCTGGAGCCTGTAGTAGCCAGTGCTTCTGACTGTACTTCAGTAGCCAGTGCTTCCGACTGTATTGCAGTAGCCAGTGCTTCCGGCTGCACTGCAGTGTGTCTCCCGGGGGCATTCCATCTCATGCTCAGTTGGCCTGCTGCCTTACTGTTGGAGCTAGATACTATTTCCATGGTTGGTGGCCCTTGTGTCACAGGGGACTCTGTGCCTGAGGCCCAGACTCTAACACCCCACGAGTACGAGTGTGTCAAGCCCATGGCTGATTTTCTCTATTCCTTGAGACACATACATGTGGGGCACTCATAAAGACACCAGAGGTTTTTAAAACGTACATGCCTACCACAGAGGAGCCGTGAGAGGTCACTTTTTGTTTGAGGCAGGGTTCCTTTGCTGTTTACTGCTATACACACAGACTAGCTGGCCTATGAGCTTCCAGAGGGTCTCCTCGCTCCACATCCTATCTTTTGATAGGAGGGCTGGCTTTGTGGATATGTGCCATTGAGTCTGGCTTTATATAGGTTCTGGGGATCTGAACTCAGGTCCAAACACTGATGGCAACTGCTCTGCCTACTGAGCCATCTCTCCAGCTTGCTATACATATTTTGACACAATTAAACACACATACAAATTTCTGAGAAGAGTTCTTTCAGGAAAAAAAAATCACACAAAAATCTCTATACATAAACAGAGTCCTCATGTAATTAGATAGTTTTGGGCCCTCTCAGACACCTCAGAGTCAACATCTGACTTTGCTGTGTAAAGCGCTAAGACCAGAAGGGGTCTCTCTGCTGAATGAGTGACACTGGCTCAGAGCAAGAAGAATCGAACTTACCCGAAGGAATGAAGGAAATCCTTGCCCATAGTAGCCAACAGCAAAATAGTCTGGCTTGGGTCTTATCACCTTGACAATGTTCTCATAAAATTGTGCCTGTTTTTTCTGGAACAAAAACCCAAAAACTCATTTTAGGCTCCCACAGAGCATTGGAGCACTCACCCTTCTGGATTCTTCTTGGGGGCCTAAGGCCTATATCTGGCTGAATCTCAATTTTGACATTATTTTTCATGCTGTTCAGCAAGGTAACCTAAACAAGCCACGCATGGTCGCTAGTTGTCTTTCGAGAGTATTTTCAATAATCCAGGGAAATGATTTCCATGTGCTTTTAGTGCTTTTTAAAAAAAGGACATAGAACAGACACTGGGAGAATTTGAAGGACAGAATTATTCTGCTCTAAATTATAGGTAAACACTCTGTCATAAATGTGGCCTACTGTGTGTGTGTGTGTATGTGCCTGTGTGTGCGCGTGCTTGCACGCACACACACACACACACACACACACACACACACACACATTATGGCATGGCTGAGAAGGCAGCAACTAAAAATGTAGACAATGTCACGGCACTTAAGGTTCTGGCCACCAACTGTCTGTCTCCTCTTGTGGCAAGGGTGAGCGCTTTAAACCAACTGCCAAGACCCCTGTACTTAGGACATAAGCACCTCTTATGCATTACTAATGCAAGGTTTAACTTCTTGGCCTACTTGAGAATAAAAAGTGAATTTTCATAGGCTGGAATCAACCAGCAGATAAAGAACATCCATTTCTTAAGACAGTACAGGGGGGACAGGTCAAAGGCAAGGGAACATTTGAGGCAGATCTCAACATGAAAACTGAATCTAAGACATCCAAACCCAAACTCAGACCGAAGCAAGGACTGACCAGCAATTCACTCAGCTGCTCATAATCAAACATCTCCGTTTCGTATTGCTCTGCAAGTTCCTTGCCCAGGGCGATGGCCTCCTCCCACATCTGTGAGTGACAGAGAGAAGAGAGAGAGAGATCCAAGCATGAGTCATGCATCAAGCCAAACAGGAAAATCATTATTTACAATGAAACATCCAGAAATGCAGGAGATTAATGGACACACTTGGGAATCATGCAGGAAATGTACAAGCATTTTCTAGAGGTTCCAGCTCTTGGCTCAGGACCTGCAGTCTTGACTAAACTGCTCAACCTGAGGCTCATCTGTCATAGCACCTCTTCCCCCAGCATGGTAGTCTGCTGGTCCAGCATCACTTGTCCTCACTCTCCTGCTGCCAGTGATGGCCGCCAAAGACCATCTGTCAGGGTAGCCTTGGAGCCAGGGAAGAGACACCACAGGGTGAAGGTGCATAGCCAGGAACCATCTACTCTGTGGCTACTTCCCAAATGTTCCCACTGCATAGCCATCGGGTTCCAGAGCGCACACTGCCAGAAACACCAACTCAAAGCTTCAGAATGCTTGCTTTTTGCAGATGCAAATCCTGCCAGTATTTGAAAAGGGGATTTTCCTATGGCAAACAGTTTGAAGATGCTTCTCCAAGTAGCTTACTTTTAAAAACATGGATAAACGTTTACTTATTTTATTTTACTTATTTATTTTGTGTACACACACACACACACACACACACACACACATATGCATGCATGTAAGTGCCAATGTCCTCTCAGTTGAAAGGCAATGGAGTTATAGGCTGTTGTAAGGTGTCCAGTGTGGGTGCTGGGAGCCAAACTTGGGACCCTACAAGAACAGGACATACTCTTAATGGATGAGCATTTCTCCAGCTATCATTACCACCATCATCATCATCACCATCACCATCATCATCATCAGCAGCAGCAGCATTTTTTTAATATGGATAAACTTTTGAATATAGTAATTTGATGCTAGGCCTGGCTCCCCCCGGGAAAGATGCCTGAGAAGCATGAGACATTTGGCGGTAGAAGCTCCTCTAAGATCCCAGTTGCTGCCCACTCTCCTTCTTTGGGCTTTAGTGACCCAGAACTTTCTTTAATGTATTAAAACTGGAAGATGCTTGTTTTCTCTCCCCAGACTGCATTCCTCCAAGAGTGTCACTCATATAAAACCTGAGGACATATCTACCTGTTCCTCAAGGCTCAGTACACAGAACTGGAGGTTGACAGGAAACTAAAGTTCAGATACTTCTTAACAAACTGTAATCCGAGCCTCATATCTCTATATTTCTACATTTTCAGGAGATCACAGCACTAACCTTCATGGGAGCTACTCACTCCTGCTTCCTAGCAGCTAGAAAAAGACGAGGACTCCTGCCCCTGGGGGCGTTACAGGTACGGCTGCCGTCACGTGTGAGTCAGTAGTAGCAGAGGGGGGAGAGGTTACCTCTATGCTAAGTGCTCTTACCTGTGAATATCTGAATGGTTAGTAGCCTGAAAAAAGGGAGCCTGAGATTATCACTAGTTTGGTACCAGACAGGCCCAGATGGGTTCCTAGGATAGGGAGAATGCTAGAGACTAGAAGAGCCTCACCTGGGAATAAGCCTGAGACAGATGACCCTCACAAGGGGCCACTTGGGTAGACTGGACAAGGGGCAAGCCTAAGGTGACCGCCAGACTGGCACCACAGGCCCAGACAGGGAACCTCCCTGGGATGACCCCTGCCTGGCACCATAATGCATGAGCAGAGCAGAGCAATCCTGAGGCTACTTCAGAGACAACGCCAGGTACTCAGAGACCCCAGGCACCACTAAGATGAACAAGTAAGTGGGGGAGGAATGGAAGGTGGGGTCCATATCTGAGTTTGTGGCCATGTAGGTATCCAATACCAAAGGCCAGGCAGATGTCCATAGTCTAAGTTGCCACCTAGGGACACGTTGATGTCTGAGGGCTGTGTAGAAATAGTCCCATGCCCCTCACCTAGGCATCATGGGAAAGCTGGCCCTCTCATGTGGCATGGAGGAAGAAGAGATATCCTCCTCCCCCTTGACCCTCACCATCTGTGGCAGGCGGGAAACCAGGCCCCAGGGCCATGAGAGGAGGAGAAAGGACCCTACCCCTCACCAGCTGCACACTCACTCCTTGTCTTGGCAGCACAGTAGAGCTGACCCTTGGAGAGGAGGGGTTGTGCTGGTCCCAAGGGCTTGAGTGTGGGAGAGCTGGCCCCAGCACTTGACAGACTTGTGGTGACATGGGTAAGGGAGAGAGGAAGAGATGCCCCCAGGTGAGAGACTTGGCCCAGATGAGGTCAGGAGAGCAGGAGAGCAGGCCCTGCACTTCATTTGGCCGGCACAGTAGAGCTGACCTTGACGGTGGGGGCACTGGTGACCTTCCCCAAGGGTGTCTTCAGATATGCTGTTGTTGCCTGTGCCATGGAGATCGCTTCTGGGTATCATGAGAGAGATGGTCCCTCAAGTTGTCTGTAATGGGGCAGTGTGGGCAAGGGAGATATGCCCACTATCACCCTTGCCCCTTGCCACCTACCAGGTGGGAGAGCTGCCCCTGGAGTCATGGGAGCATGAGAGCTGTCCCTGTCTCTCATCTGCTGCAACATTTGGGGGAGCAGGCCCTGTACCTCACCTCAGCAGGACAGTAGAGTTGGCCCTGGATGTGAGGATTGCAGGTGAGCCAGTCCAGAGGACATGAGCACAGGAGAGCCTGCTCTGTCTCTTGTTTCCAGGTCAGTGACACGGATAAGGGACTGATACCTTCCTCACCTCCCTCATCCTGTGCCATTTATGACAGGTGGGAGAGCTGCCCCTGGGGTCATGAGAGTGGGAGAACTGGCCATGTCCCTCACCAGGTACAAACACTCAGGAGAGCAGGCACTACACCTCACCTGGGCAGCAGGGTAGGGCTGGCTCTGGTTGCAGGGGGTTGCTGGTGAGCAGGCCCTGAGGGCAGGAGAGCAGGAGAGTCAGTGGGCTGACCAGCTCAGATATCTCTCAGACCCAGGGCTTTGAATTGGTCCATCCCAACATCTACCCCATCAGTGAACTGATGTAAAGCACGAAGGAGCAGGTCCTACAGATCCAAAGACACAGAATTTCCAGGACACAGGCAACCACAGGGTATCTGAGAAGAGTCCCAGGGAGCTTCCAGTATTGAGAGAATAGCAGAAGCCTAGAGGCTTCATACCAGACCAACGAGTCATTGCAATGAACATCTGCAAGGAAAGAAGTGTGGACAAAAGGGTACACTGTGGGACAGTCTGTGGCATACCTCAGCTTCCGCAGTAAGTTTTTTTTTTCCTCTGTTGGAGGGAAGGTTGCAAGGAGGATGGGTAGGAGGAAAGGGGAAGATGAGTGGGATTGGGAACATGATGTGAAACTCACAAAGAACCAATAAAAAGTTTTGTTTTTTTTTTTTTTTTAAAAAAAAGATGGAGACCTGCTGGGAGCAACATGTCCCTGACAAGGGCTTAGATGTTTCTCAAGTGTTTCTCAAGCTGTGAGTCAGACTCTTTTGGGGGACCCATATTATATATTATATCATAATTCATCACAGTAGCAAAATTAGTTATGAAGTAGCAACAAAGTAACTTTGTGGCCTCTCTCTCTGTGTGTGTGTGTGGGGGGGGTCACCACAGCATGAGGAATGGTATTAAAGGGTTGCAGGAAGGTGGGGAATCACTGACATAGACAATCACGGTGGAAAGGAAATAAACATGTCACGCTGACATGACGTCCAGCCACCTGTGCTTCCCAGGTGACGTTCTCCAACCACCTGGTAGGAGTGTTTCAGGCTGTGGACAGGGAAGCTGGGGGTCAGAGAGGGAAGAAACCTGCCCACGTGACAGGGCAGAGGCACGGTAGATTTGCATTTTTACTCTTGAAGATCACATGCCAGCACTTCCAGGGCTGTCAGTTGGCACACCCCTGTCACAGAGCATTCTGCCCACTAGGATGGCCCCACCACAGGGATTCATTATTATTGACTCCCTCAACTAACTGAAGGATAAAATTATACCCACCAGTGATACTCTCTTCATACTTACTACTTTATAAATTATTCCCCTTCCCCCCCATTGTGGGTATTTTGAGAAAGGATCTTATGGAGTGCCAGGCTAGCCTCCAGTTCACTATGTAGAAGAGGATGGATGACTTTGAACTCTTGATTCTTTTGCCTCTACCTCCCAAGTTCTGGGATGACAGGAGTGTACCATTGTGTCCAATGCCAGTTGGCATTCTTGATGAGAAAAAAAAAGTGGCTCTGAATTAATGATTGCTTCAGATATAGGGAGAGCAGCCTGAAGGAGTCTAGAAGGAGACAGGGGCCCTGGGTCAAGGGGTCACTTCACGCTGTTCTCTTGGTTCTGAGGTTATCCCATATTCTCTGTGTGTCCACATCTGCCTCTCTAGATCTGTCATGCCCTCTTCTGGAAAGCTCTCATCCCCATCTGAACACTCCCCCCTGTGATGTTTCCTGTAGGCACTAGTGACCCACGGCTCCTCAGTGTGTTACCACTTCAAAGGCAGCACTCCCTCTCCTTGTAGGTCTCCTTTAGCAGATTGTCCTTTAGTTTCTGTAAGCTAATCTACCTCTCTTAGCTGTTCATTCCCGAGCAAAAGCTTAATCTGTCTTGATCCTAAATGACAGATGAGGTGCTTTAGATATGTAGTCAAGTAATTGTTTTTAAAAGAAATACAGGTCTCGAGTAAATATCTTTTCTTGCTCACCCTGAGGTCTCATGGTTGTGTTTTTTATCAGATTTTCTGTAAATACATAAGCCACCCCCTCCATGCCCCTCCACTTGTGTTAAAGGATTCCATACCGGGGCTATTTTCATCTATTTTTAATTGGACCGGGGCTCTACAGGGAGTGTGGGCAGTTCATACTTCCAACACAAATGCTGAGGAAAATATTTCACCACCACAGAGGAAGCAGATTCAATATGATTTAGATTTTGATTGTCTCAGAGAAAGAATCACTTTGACCTTTGGTGACTGAACCTGGGCTCAGTTCCATTCTTACAAGAGCTACAGGCTTAGCAGGCCTGAACAGCCCCAAATGAAAATGCCTGAATTCGTAGACAACTTTATTTTCTGATCTGAGGTCTTTAATCCAGTTTAGGGCATCTGAGGAATTGTTGGCTATCGTCTGCAGGGGCACGTTTGGCCTCTGTCCCCTTCCCCACTGGATAGGTTCTTCCCCTTTCCTGAGATAGTAATCTTTTCTGTCTTCTAGGTTTTGGGGCCTCCCCATTTCTTCAAGCCCTGCACACAGAAAACTTTCTTTTCTAATGAAACACCTTTCTCAGTGTCAAGATGGTGGCAGCCAAGGAGGCTGGGAAGATGGATCCACAGGGAAAGTAGGTGGTAGCCACAGAACAAGACAATCTGTGTTCAATTCCCAGAACCCTCATAGAAAGCATAAACAGTCACGAATAGGACTTGGGTGACAGCTCAGTAGCCAAGTGCACTCTGTGTGCAAACAGGAGGACCTGAGTTCAAATCCCTAGTTGTCAAGCAGCAGCAGCAGCAGCAGCAGCAACAAAAAAGCCTGCCATGGTCTTATATAACTGTAACTCCAGTGGTAAGATAAATGGAGTTTGCGGACTGCCCATCTACCTCTAAGTTCCATGGAAGATCTCTTATGTGAATAAGGGAGAAAAGCAAGAGCAAAACATCACACACACGCACATGCACCTGCGTGCATACACATAGGCACAGTGGCAGAGAATATATCAGGTATTGATTTCTCCCAGGTAGATATGACGTGAATTACAGGGATGGAGAAACTCCAGGATGGTGGGGCAACAGCCAATGAAGAGGGAGATGTCATTAGGGGTGAAAGATTCTTCATCTTTAGCATGACTGACTCACCAGGACTCCCAGGGGCAACTCTGGTTTAGTGCACATACTGGCTGTGAACAGCTCCCTAGCAAAGGTGTTTTATATGAAGCCTGACTTTTGGCCATTTTTCTACTGCTCATCCGTTTTCCCTGGCAGTTATTGGGAATAGTCACACTCAATTACCTCCTGAATTTCCAGAGTCCCACACAGCTTTCTGGTGTTTAATGGATGAGGATCAATGTTGTGGAAGAGGCCACAGCTCTGCTTGAGGTCCCTTTGCACCAGAGGGACCAAGTGGCCCAGGACTGGCAGGAGGCCTTCACGCTCAGTGAACATCCTTCTGGTCCTTAAATCTGAACAAGGGACCACTTAAACCTGTGAGGTAGGTCTTCCTATGTCCACCTGTGTGACATGCTCAAGGAAGGCTTCCTTAGTTAGCCTTTGAGAACTCTGATGCTGGCCACGACTCCCTTGAGGTCAGCTCTGCCTATGTTTGTGTACATCAGGGTGCAGAGCAGCCTGTGGCACACAGTAGGTTTGTTAGTGGAGAGACATCTCTGTGATCCTACAGACTGAAGCATGACAGCATTGTTCTTGGCCCAAATGTTCTGACAAAATATAATTCCTTTTAATACTGTCAAATCCCA